AAGAAGGAAAAGAAGCACTGACCTTCAAAGATGGAGACAAATGGAGGCCTCAATCTTTGCTCGGCTCCCTTGGAATTGATGAGAGGCTTCGAATGACCGTCCCGTCCTCTTGTTCAACTAGGTCACACGTGGACAGGGCCTTTACCGTATGCCTACAAGAGCCGCACACTAAGACTAGAAGCACGCATGAGGCTACTCGACTCGCCTTCTTGCTCATGCTCTCTCTCAGTTGGAAGGACCGCACGCAGCAAGAAAGCAAGCAAACGCTCGAGATCTGGACGAAGTCGACCGCACGAAGCACGTAGAAGACTTCTGCCTCCACCTTCTCTTGCTACTCTCGGTTTGGACGCATGAAGCGCATAAGGTCGAAAAATTGACCCTGCTCTTTGCCTACTACTCCCTCTACACTCAAAATGAGAGATCCCTCTGCTCAAGGCGATCTTCTGCCATGATATCCTGCTACAACCGCAAAAATCAGACGAGATGCTACTTTTGCCATTCAATCTTTGAATCCTAACCATGGGATCAAATTTCCTAATAAAGAAAAATGATTAGGAAATACCAAAAAGTCAAATTGATTGATTTTGGTTAAAATTGATTCGAAATTGGACTCGACTCATACCAATTTGGGTCGTTTGAGTCCGATTGGGTCTGATTGAGTTAATGAATTGCGTCAAATTTGATTCAACAAGGCTCGATTGGGTTTGATTTTGGGTTAATTCGATTGATTTAAATTTAATTTGATTAAATTCGGGTTCAATTTGAGTTAATTTTAGTTCGACGATGCTAGATCGAGTTGATCCAGCACGAGTCCAACAGGGCAGCTGGGCTCTATTGAAACTGATTAAGGCTCGAAACGAAAATATACGCCAACAACATTGATCATCGATGTTGAGACAATGTCAGTAATCTAAGTTGAGTTGATGTTGGTCCAAAGATGAGATGTCGAGACAACGCAGGGGGCGTGATTGTAGGTGTAGAAATTGTTATAATTAAACTTTGAATTCAAATGATATTTGAAACATTGATGTTGTGACGATGTTGGATGTCGATGTTGCGATGACATCGAGTATTGTTGTGAAACCATAGCTGCAATCTACATATCTAAATGAAAATGGCATGTTCGGGGAATAAGATATTGAGTGCGGGCAAGTGATTTGAGATTGTTAAGAGGAAATAAAATTTATGCTTTATTTCTTCATAAATAAAATTTTAAATATAAGAAATTCATTAAATATTTAAGTGATGTGCCAGACACGGATGTCAATAATCAGACACATCTTCGGCATGTCCAATACGCATCGAAGGCATGTCTAATATATGTCGTGTCAAATACGTATCAGACACTACATAACTCATTGAGAAGTATCGGTGCATCATAGATCACAATGAAAAAGCAGACTACTAACATAATGTAATGCGAAAGTTGGATGATTGTTTCTTGTTAACAAAATGGATCATCTCAATACATTTAGAATGTCAAAAATATCTAAAAACAACACTCATATTGATTAGGTTGTCTATGCAGGCTAAACAAAAAATTTGGACGCAAACACGAGGACGACTAACATTTTAAGACATTCAAAAATTAAGAATTGTGCAAGAATATAAACACACCCTCTTAATTAATTTATTAAATTAAATAATAATAATTATAAAATAAATAAATAAAATGAAATATTTCATAATAAAAAATTAATACTGTCATTACCAGGTCCTATGCCCTGGATAAGAAAAGGGAGGGTTACATTAAATACTCAACAGTCTGCGTAAAACTTATCAAATAATAATGACATGAATAATTTAATATATTGTGATAATGTTAGGGCGTTCCCTAGAAGTGACACGTTGCATGACCTAAATATAGCGACAACTCTGCAAGGGTCACTGCATCGGCGCCCTAGTGCAGTGTTAAATAGGCAAGAGTTCCCACATCATGAACGCACGTGGGCAAAATAACTATTCCATAAAACTAAAATTAGGATAGAAACTTGTAATATAAGTTTCCTTACTGACAAATTAATGGAATTAATAAATATTACAATTCATAGGAAGACAAATATTCTTTACATTCAGGAAACTAAATGGGTTGGAGAGAATGATAAGGAAATTGAAAGTTTAGAATTTAAGCTATAATATTCTAGTATGAGTCGTACTAGAAATAGTGTAGGTATGATTATAGATAAGAGTTTGAAGGATAATGCCGTAAAAATTAATATAATTGAAGATAAAATTATAACTTTAAAGATTGTTGTTGATGCTAAGATTATTACTATTATTAATGGTTATATTACACATTAGGTTTGGATATGTGTTCAAAATTAAAATTTTTGAATGACTTAGAATTAATACAAAAGATATATCTTGAAAAAAGAGTTTTTATAGAATGAGATTTAAAAGGACATATTGATAGAGAGGTAGATTATTTTATAAGCATTCATGCTGGCTATGAGTTTGGAGCGATTAATGAAGGTGGTAAGATCATATTAAATTTTTTTTAATTTATGACTTTATAATTACTAATACTTTATTTAAGAAAAGAAATTAGCATCGCATCACTTATAAGAATGGATAAGGCAACTCAAATTGATTATTTTTTATAAGAAAAAAAAGATCATTTAGATTGCAAAGATTCTAAAGTTATTCTGAGTGAAAGTTTATGTACCCAGCATCTCTTATTAGTTTTGAACTTTAAGATGAAGGGACATAAAATAAAATATAAAGTAAATCATTATTCTAGGATTAGATTGGGGAAAAAATTTTTAAGAGTAAGATTCTAGATCTTAAGATTATATTTGTGCATGAAAAAACTAATAATATATGAGAAAATATAGCTATTGATATTAAGAATGTTGCAAAAGATGCTTAAAGTATCAAAGGGAAAAGCTCCTAATAGTAAAAATAGTTGGTGTTAGAATCAAAATGTGCAGAAAAAAATAAAAAATAAGAATGTTATAAAAATTGGTTTACATATAAAAATTATGATAATTTGGTAAGATATAAAGATGCCCGTAAGGAGTTTAAGAAAACAATATGTAATGCAAAATTTTAGCTTTTAATGATTTATATAATATATTAGATACTAATGAGGACAAAAGATATATGTATAAGTTAGCTAAACATACAGAAGAATTTCGTATAAATGTGCTAAAAAATGTGTGTCCTATAATAAAGAGAAAATGACAAAAATAGTTCATTGATTATTTATGAAAGGTCAAAATAGTCTCCAACAATATTAAAGGATCATTTTGATCTCTCAATTCCTTAAAGAGGAACTAAAATTGTCCCACCATAGAATGATTTTGAATCATTTTTAAAAACTTGAGAGACCAAAATGGTCGTTTAGTATACTTAGGATCATTTTGGTCCTTCATAAAGAGTCATTGGATCATTTTCATCCTTTTTTTCAAAAAAAAAAAAAAAAAAGTAC